GGGCGGCGCCCCAACTCCCCAATCGGCCCTGCTCTGAGCCTGACCAGGGGCTGCACCTAGGGATTGGGCCTGCCCTCTGCCACCCGGGAGCAGGCCTAAGCCAGCAAGTCATTATCTCCTGAGGGGTCCCAGACTACGAGAGGGCACAGGATGGGCTGAGGGACCCCCTCTCCCCCCCGAGTGCACAAATTTTTGTGCACCGGGACTCTAGTCCTATATAATAAAAGGCTAATATGCAAAACAACCGAACAGCAGAACGAACGGTCGCTATGAAGCACACTGACCACCAGGGGGCAGATGCTTAACGCAGGAGCTGACCCCTGGTGGTCAGTGGGCTTCCACAGGGGGAGCGCCGCTCAGCCAGAAGCTGGGCTCATGGCTGGCTAGTGCAGCGGCAGTGGCGGGAGCCTCTCTTGCCCCCATGGCAGTGCTAAGGATGTCTGACATCCCCCAAGGGCTCCTGAACTGCTAGAAGGTGCAGGCTGGGCTGAGGGACCCAACCAAGTGCACAGATTTTGTGCACAGGGCCTCTAGTATAATATAAATGCAGCATAAACATACACACATATAATATACAGACACATATACTATACACATACATATAATATGCATACACTACAAACATAGACACATACATACATATACTTATACATACACTATATATACATGTACACATGTAATATACATACACATAATTATACATACACTGTACACATGCACACACATACTATGCACATGCTATACACACATAACGTACACACATATAATTACACATACACTATATTGTATTTGTAAAGGATACAGTGTGTCCTAATTGTTTTTAGTATAGAAATCCCTGCTGGTCTTCTTACTTCCCTTTTACTTAGTTTTCTCTATTACAAGTATGTCAAACTCATGGCCCATGGGCCGCATGTGTCCCACAACGAATATTTTTGTGGCCCAGCCAATATAATGGTATGTAAGAAACGTTTTAATAAAATTTTATAATTTATTTTTACAATATCCTATTACACATAATTACTAATAATGAACTACAACGTTCGCTAATGACTGATTACTATAATCATGTTGCATTCATTCCCCTTATGTGCCTTACATGCAGGCGCACCATTTCTCTCCACTAATACTAGCAGCGAATATTTTAGCAGCTGATGGCCAGGTCATTAGTCTTGAACTGACTTGTTTGGTGTGTGCAACAGGAAATATTTCAGTTTTGGAGAACAAGAAAAATAGTTTTATTTGTGGTACACTTATTAATTTGTGCGGTTATTCAGTGTCTGGTAAGTTAATGTTCAAAAAAATATATTAATTTTTATTAAAATGTTCTATTATTTTATTAAAATGTTCTATTATTTTATGTGAACGATGACTCATTTGTTTCAACCCTTTGTATTCAGCATGTCTCTATAGAAATAAACCTGTTTGTGGCCACTTACACTTACACCTTGATTATTTGGCCTGTGTTAGCCTTTGGGTCTGACATGCTAGCTGTCAGTAGCCTCTGAGCTAATGGAAGATTCCAACCACGTCTGAAAGGTGAGGTGAATTTAATGTCTCTTCCCTTAAAGAAAAGTAGCTGCTGAAGTATTCGAAAATCCCAGAAAATCAATGTCCCCAAATCGGATGATGAAACAGAAAGCTCGTGCTGTAAACGGAGGAAAGAGGGTTCGGGGAAGCTGGGAGACTCTCCTCGCTGGGTGTGGCGGTGGCCGAGGAGGCGGTGGGTCGGACCTGCTCGCTCACTGAAAGGACTTGAGCGGCTGACTGCAGGTAGCAGCCTTGCTCAGCAGCTGTGGGAGGGGCAAGGTCAGAGAGCGCCACGTGGCCTCTCTCTTTGGAAAAGCATAATTCCAACAGCGAATGTTTATTTTAAACCACAAATCATTTTGTTTTCAAAGAAACTTAAAATATCAAATGCGTAAAACCTGTGTTATATAATCAAGACAACGGTGAGTGAAGCCGTCCTGTGGACTCCCAGGGATCCTGGCCAGGAAAACCTGTGTCGTGGAGGTTATCTGAACCCTGGGCAGAAGAGGTGACACTCAGAGCTGCTCAGGGACCGGAAGCGTCGGGAGCCGCAGCTGTTTGTGGAGACAGTGCAGGCAGGCTGCTCTCACCCGCGTCCGGCAATGGGATGGTGGCCGCGCTGCTCCCGGGGACACTGAGCATGACAACGTCTGGCACTCCCTCTCACACACTTGCCGATGGAAGAGGCCTCAACGCAGCAATCAGTCACCAAGAGGCTGTTTGCAAAGGAAAGGAAGTCTCGAAGGCCTCAGGGAGGAAGCCTCGGTGCCCCCACTAGTTCCCGTCGTGGGGGAAGAACTCTCCTCTCCCGCAGGTTCTTTCGTCCCGTCTGATAATTAAGTCATAGGAGACAGACGAACTAGATAGAACAGCCAATGTTAGTTACATATGCCTGTAGGGGAAGCCCTCCTCCATGAGAGGCAGAGGCAGAAAGGGAAGTCGAGGCCTAGAGGGCATTCTGAGCTGAGGATGAGGTCAGGCTCCTGAAGCCTCAGAGGAGGAAGGTCATGGAGGATGACAGCCGGGCAGATGCTCAGTAGCTGGTGTTTGTCCTGCCCTGTGGATGGGTCGTGACGAGTTGCAGTAAGTGGTAACCCTTCCCGTGGCAACGCCCCAATTCAAATTCTTCTAGGTAGCTAAGGGGGCAGGCAGAAGTTCGAGTCCACGGGGTCTCAGTTGTCTTTATCTCAGAACAATCCACACACCACAGAGACACTGTGGGCACCTAATTTTGAACCCATACACCAAGCATCAAGAATAGGAGTTTTTAAAAGGAAATGTAAACAGTGGCACTTCTAGTTTGGGGGTTTGCATCAAGTCTATGGGTGCAGTGAGGTGTATGCCAACCCTGAGCACTGGTACGGAGCGCTCATCAGAGGCTGTGCGGCTTGCACCAGCTGCTTTGTCAACAACAACAACAGGCCATTATTGCAGAGCAGTTCTGCCACCTACGAGATAAAAAGCAGTTCATGGACTGGGATTCCCAGTGTGAGGCTGTCATGGAAAGCCAGGTGGCTATTTATGCACTTCCTGTTCTGTGCTGGTGTGCCACAGTGACCAGAGCCACTCTGTGACTTCATATACTTCACACACGCACACACACAGCTGCATACACACACATGTGAGCACAAAGTGCACACACACACATGTGCATGCACCCGTGCGCATGCACACACTGGCACACGCAACAGCACACATGCATGTACACACATGCGCACAGATGCACACACATGCACCTTTATGAGTATGGACCTATCACAGTATCAACATAGCATTTCATGTGGCTCTTCTTTGAGAGCCTCTGGTTAACACGGATGCCTTTCTCTCCAAAGGCCCACAATTTACTTACATTCTAAAAGGTCAAAGTTGCACTTCAAATGTGAAGCCGAAAAAACAATGTTAGGTCTTTAAATATGTTATTGCCATCACACAGAATACGGTTTAAACCTATTTTGAACCAAATGTAGGGTTAGACTTTGATTTCTTTCCAACTAAGACCCAAGTTAATAGCTCTTCCATAGTAACTGTAAATAAGGTAGGCTAGTTAAATTTGCATCCTCATCTCTTATTGTTTTGCTTTTAAATGTTGTTTAAAATATAACTGAACCTGGCTGGTATTGCTCAGTGGTTGAGCATCAACTTATGGACCAGGAGGTCACGGTTCAATTCCCGGTCAGGGCACAGGCCTGGGTTGCGAGCTCAGTCCTCAGTGGGGGTGTGCAGGAGGCAGCCGCTCAGTGGTTCTCTCTCATCATTGATGTTTCTCTCTCTCTCTCTCTCTCTCTCTCTCTCTCTCTCTCTCTCTCTCCCTCTCTGAAATCCATAAAAATATATTTTTAAAAATGTAAAGGAATATAGTTTTAGGAAGTTGGAAGTACTCCAGCCTCTCCAATCTCCCCAACCAAATCATTCTTTCTGGCTCTACTTTTCCAGAAACATGGAGATAATGGTCTGCGTCCAGCTATTCTGCACGTGGCGATTGTGTTTTATTAGTCACTGTTCACAGTTGACAGCCTAATGCAGCGCAGCGAGGAGGAACTTACATTTGCAGGAAGTTCATTTGAGGGAGGCTGGAGGCCCGGGCGGGCACAGTGACTCAAGACACACTATGTGGAGACTGCCAGCCTGGGTGGTTTGCCCCTTCAGAGGTCCCCCGTGTTCCCTGTCAGCTGTGCTCTTGGACACCTCTGGGTCCTCGTGGTTGTTATGAGCGGAGAAGGCGGACCCGACGTGGTGTGGCAGTGGCAGCAGGGGCCAGAGGCACCGGGGAGACTCGGCTGCCTGGGAACAGCACGCGGGCAGGCGGCCCTGAGGAGACAGCGGCCCCGCACGCAGTTATCGCCATCGTGCCCATCTTCTGCCTCATGGGGCTGCTGGGCATCCTGGTGTGTAACCTGCTCAAGCGGAAGGGCTACCACTGCACTGCCAACAAGGAAGTCGGGCCCGGCCCTGGAGGTGGAGGCAGCGGGAACAACCCTGCCTATGGGGCTGAAGACGCCAACGAGGACACCATCGGGGTCCTGTTGCGCCTGATCATGGAGAAGAAGGAGAATGCAGCGGCCCTGGAGGAGCTGCTGAAGGAGTATCACAACAAACAGCTGGTATAAACCAGCCACCGGCCTGTGCCCAGGCTGCCGCCCAGACCCAGCATGCCGTACATCTGCCCACACTACCACCACCTCCACACTGTGCAGGGCCTGGCCTCGCTCTCTGGCCTCTGCTGCTCCCGTTGTAACCAGAAGTGGCCCGAGGTGCTGCTGTCCCCTGAAGCTGCGGCCGCTACCACTCCCACTCCCAGATTTCTGCCCAACCCAGCCAGGGCGCCCAAGACCGGGGCCAAGGCCGGACGCCAGGGCGAGATCACTATCTTGTCTGTGGGCAGGTTCCGGGTGGCCCGAATTCCTGAGCAGCGGACAAATTCATGGGCCTCTGAGGTGAAGACCATCACGGAGGTTGGTCCCTCAGTGGGTGATTTCACTGACTCCCCACAAGCTGGCCACCCCACTGAGCAGCGGGCACTACTGGGAAGTAGTGGAAGCCATACTAAGTGGCCAAAGCCCCCAGCAGAGAAGAAGGCCGAGGAAAACCGCTATGTGGTCTGGCTAAATGAGAGCAACCTGGTCATCTGAGGGCACTGCAGCCCTGTCCTGGGAGGTTCCGAAGGCTTCCTGGAGGAGGTCGAGCTGCAGCTGGGCCTGCAAGGATCAAGAAGCAATGGCCCAGCAGACAAAACGGTAAAGGCTAGAGGTGGCAGTGTCTGCCCCAGCGAGGAGGCCGCGGCAGGTGCAGTACACAGGAGCAAGTTGAAAGCCCACCCGTCCCTGCCACCCAGTTCCTTCCTTGCAGGATGCCCCTGACCCTGTGCCCTGGCCAGGTCCTGGGACCCGTAAGATCCTCTGTGCCACCAGGAGGCCAGGCCGTGATGGTGGGAGGGGCCCTCTGCTTGGCACCCCTGGCCCCACCCTTGGTAATTAGCCACCTCCTGCCTCTGTCCAGGGCCCCAGAGCAAATGTGCCTCCCCTCCTCTCCCGGCAGGACCTGTGAAGGGGAGGGGCAACAAAATGCCATGAGCAGGGAGTCTGAATTCCTGGGTTCTAATCCCTGGCAAGTCCCTGGCCATCTCTGGGTCCCCCTTTTTCTGACTGTGAAGTCTCAGTGCCCAGGGCCTCTCCAGCTCCCTGCGGGCTCTGGGCTGTGTCGTGGGTGCGAGCTTACCTCCTGGCCACCCCTCCCACTAGTAGCTTTATCTGGCCCCATTTTTGCTGCTTCCAGGGCCTCCGCCTTCAAGGCCCCCATGGGGCTGCCCATCCATGGCTCTGCCTCCAGAAGGGGCTTCATGCATGTGCCTGCCTCCGACCTGCTGTTTTTATTTATTCAAATTGATAAGACAGACTTGACCTGGGTGGGGCCCAGCCACCCCCACGATATCAGGAGCTTTGGGGGAGGGTGTGTGACAGGCTAGAGAGGCACCTCTGCCTTAGGTGGTCTGTGTCCCTGTGGTGTTGGTGTGTCTGTCCCTCAGTGTGGGAAGTGCAGGCAACTGCCCCGCCCATCTCCACCCTGGCTCAGCAACCTGGTTATTTATGTGGGCTGTGCAGGCACGGGCCCCACTGTTGCCCCATTTCTTATTTATTGAAACTGTGCTGTTGTCCTGTCCTTGGCGTATTGGTCAGAATGACATCTTTGGATGGCCGTGAACTAGCACTTGGTTTGAAAACTGGTCAGTGGAGGGCAAGAATCATGCAGCTCTCCTGTGTTTCTATCTCATCTAAACTGTACTACTGAGCAAAAAGGGACGTTTTTCTTTGTAGCAGCAAACAGTGAATACGTGAAGAAGGGTGGATCCAATGCCATCGTTTTGTGAGTCAGCCGTGGGTGTGGCCAGCAGAACGGGCTGGGAGAGCAGCAGGCCGATGCCCCTGCCCTTCGCCCAGCCTCAGAGGATTGTCCGGTCTCCTCGGGGCTGGATTTTGTCTCCTGTAAAATTAAGTAAACTCTACCTTACGGAGTAACAGTGCAGGCTAGAAAAAAATGCTCACTTTAGTACCTGGCACATCATGAATTTTCTTTTTAAAATTGATTTTATAGAAAGAGAAGGAGAGAGAGAAACATTGACTTGGTTCCACTCATTTATGCACTCATTGGTTGCTTCCTGTATGTGCCCAGACCAGAGATCAAACCCGCAACCTTGGCGTATTGGGTCGACGCTGTAACCAACTGAGCTACCCAGACAGGGCCTATGAATTTTCAACAAATACTCTGGTACAGAGGAAACTGGGTAATGAATAGCACTTTGGGCATTGGGAGTGTTCTAGTGAAGTGGGGCGCAAATCTCAGGGTGCAGAGGGGTTGTGGGTGAAGACACGGAGCAGCCCAGCCTGCACTGTGGGCCCTTCTGCCCGCAGGGAAAGGGGTGTGGATACGGACGAGTCAGAGAGACGGCGGGAGGCGGGGCAGGTGCCTCGGAGACCAGGGTGTCAGAGGCCTCTCCGCTCTGAGGTCACGCAGACCCACCGATGCACGACGTGTGGCTGTGGTGGGTAACGCTGTTGTATAATGGAAATTCATGAAGAGAGTAGAACTTAAATGTTCTCAAAAAAAAGGAAATATGTTCTTTCATAACACATTTTCAAAACATAACTTACGCACACACGAGGCTTGCGGTTTCCGTCGGCAGGGGTGTGGTAACAGGGTCATAAGCACGGGAGTCGCCCTGTCCCGTGTTCCTTGACTCGGCAGCAGCGGGCCTGAGGATGGAAATCATGCGAGTATCCAAACTCCTTTTTAAAGGGTCCCGTGGAACTTGTTTTTCAGCAAAAAAAACAACATAAAAACCCCAAACAGAAAAACCCAAAACATATTTCCACTTATCAGGAAATAATGTGCGTCGGAAGGTGGAGACAGAAAAGAGTGTGGAGGGTGTAACACAATCCCCTACGAACACAGCTGCAGTAGCCTCGGGTGTGAGAGCGACAGCACTTTCATTAGGAAATATTCAAACACGTGAGGAACAGGAACCTTAAAGAAAAGGAGCAAAGTGGACAGTTGTGAGACGTTTTGACAATATTGTCAGATACAGAGAGTAAGAAGGATAAGGAGGCGGGGGGGGGGGGGGGGGGGGGGGGGTCCAGCCTGGGGCGTGGTGAAGCATCTGCTGTGCTGTGATCAATAATGTACAGACTCGCTCAGCAATTCACGAGCTAGTTTCTTGCCTCACACCTCGTTCCTGGAGTCTCCCTTTTCCCCGAGAGCTGGTAAGTTTGGGGATTTTGAACATGGATTCTGTCCTCACGTTATACTCACTGTCCTCAACACTAACAACCCCCCGCCTATTCTTCTTAATGCTCAAACATACCCTGCCAACCAGGTGCAGTTATTAAGACCTCAGAACTCTGACAAACACGCAGTGTGATAAGCCTGCATTTAAACAAAGGAACACAGCCACGCAGCAGACAAGGCTCACTGTGCACAGGCCAAGGGGAGCACCGCTCGCTACTTCATATGTTTCCCAGGTTGGTCACCAGCCTGCGCGCTATTAGAGCTGTTACTTATTCCAGTTCTAAGTATAAGGACACTGAATTTTCCTTCCCGAATCAGCAGCTTGTATTACAATAGAAATGGCAAACACACATTTGGTGCCAGCTTCTTTCTCCCCGCCCTGCACCCTCGTTAATTGAAGAAAATTGGATTGAAGCATTAAGTAACATCTTCAATGTAACAGGTTTTTTGTTTTTTTGGGGGGGAGGGTAGGAATAATACAAAGCTTATGTTTTAAAAGAAAATGTAATTGTGCTTTTTTTTAAAGTATAAAAACACTAGCGAAATAATCAGGCAATTTGTTATTTATTGGCTTCCAGTCAGCATCAAAAACAGATGCTAAGATTTTAAATATGACGTTTTCTAATTGTTTATTGATAAATGCCTCAGATATTGAAGCACCTACTATGTGCTAGGAATTGTGCTTGGTGCTGAATTGATGACAAACGAAGTTGCTCTGTTGCTTGCATTCGTGGTAGCTGTGGTCAGAGGGTAGATCTGGGTAACCTGTTACAAAAGAAGAGCAATCACAGACATTTTCATAGCTGCTCTGAACTTCAGGCTGTGATTTACATGTTCTGAGAAAAAGATAATCATTTTTAGTGTGTTTCTAAGTAGAGCTTGGACAACTGCCACAAGTCAATCCATCAGCAGATGTTTTAGATCATAGACCCGCCCAAATGCCTTATGAAAACACCCCACAAGGTAGTAACACGGTGTTTGTGACCAGGGGGCCATCTGTGGGCTGCTGAGCACTTGTCCTGGGGCCACTGCTAGTCAGGACACACTGGTCAGCGGGAAACATTGGGAAGTTAGTGCATTACCTCCGGAAGAACTGGGGGTCAGGAAGGAAGAATGGTACGATCTACAAGCCTAATAAACACTTCTGGTCCCCCACATCCTCAACATTTTTGTCTGGTAGTGACTTAATATAAAGGAAATAAGAGATTAGACTCTGAAAGGATTTGGATCTATTACAATTTACCTATTTATTTTCTCTGAGTGATGAGGATTGAGCCTTGATCACTTACTCTGAAGCAATTTCTTCGCCGTTGTCTATGAACCTCTGAAGAACACTTGTTCACATGCTCAGGCCAGGAATTCAACCCTCACCTGCCAGCTGCTTGCAAGCTCCACCAGCTGCACATGCAAGGAGTTTCAGCATTGACTCTGGGCAGCCTCCACCTGTTTTAGCTCCTGATAGCTGAGCCTCTCTAACTCTTCACTTTGGAGACCATTTGATTCTTAAAAATTAAATTAGCTTTCATTCTTACTTTCTGTTGCTCTCCTAGGTCTACATCTTCAGTAGTTTATAATTTAATTGACTTACCAGTTTCATTATTATTCTTTAGAATTAATATTTTATAATTCTACTTGTTTAAAGAATTATACTGGCTTTTGCTTATATTTCTTTGTGGTATTAGAATAGTATAAATCATTATCATCTAGACTTCTCAGTTTTTTATCTCATTTCTAGCTTTTGTATTTGGTATCTTTAATATTCTAATTATTTTTAATGCTTATTATTTCTTAATTTGTTATAACGTTTTTGTTCTAAATTTTTTCTATATTAAAAAACAACTTCTACTGTTAAATAAGAATAAAGCAATAAGCAAAAGACCAGGAAAAAAAAAAGATCAAAGAAGGCAACTGGTGAAACAAAACATTTTCATAAGCAGTTTAAAATTCCCATAATCTTTGGATTTTTAATTCTCTCTGAAAAAAAAAAGGAAACTCTCTCTCTCTCTCTCTCTCTCTCTAAAAATCAATAAACATATCCTCAAGTGAGAATTTTAAAAAATGCCAAATGACACTTCAACAAGGTACATATCAATGTTTTTAGATCTACATTATCATAGTGAAGTCTTCAGGAACCAAGCACAAAGAAAATTAAATTGATTTTCATTCTTTTAGCTATTTCCATATGTGCAGTTTCCTCTCTCAGTACTAATACAGAGTGAGGTTTTGAAGAACACACACACAAAAAAGCATGTTTCTTAAGCTAAAAAATTTACCAAGCTCTGAGACTGATGCAATAGTTAACCGATGCTATATAACAAACATTAATCCCCAGAGCAGTGCCTGATGTTGA